GTCAATGTCAGTTTCTCTGCGGAGGAGCAAACACCATCAATCGTAATAGATGATAAGAACGAACTTTGAACGAACGAACTTCAACAAATTGCTTCCAAATGCTATCTTGGACATGTCTTTAATCACTTTCTTACTTAGAAATGGAAATTTATAGTCACGTGACTTCTTACCCTCTAAATCGTTGTAAGGAGATTTCTAATCCAATTGGTTATAAACTTCATCCTGGATGAAGTTTATGAATGAACGTTATTGATATTGACGTCAAACTCATTTCTATAACTTTTAATATCGAAGCGAAACATCAAGAGGCAGGGCTCCTGGAGCATATTGGGGATGGGGGGGGGGTAGAAAGATTTAGGGGGCACAAGATGCTGAAAGATAAGAGCAATATTTACTGTATTGTGTTAAGTACATTATGGGATTTATTGTAGACTAAGCCACATCAGCCCTCTCAGCAATAAAGAGGGGCAAAAAAACTCAAGGAATGAAATTAAATGAATGATTGAAGTTTAGAGTCCAAGGATTTTCTAACGAGGGTCCATGACCGTTAGCATGACCGTTAGTATGAATAACATCTTTAAGCAAAAAAATTATGAAAACAACAGGGATGATATGACGTGTTAATGCAATTTTTTGTTGAAACCATAAAAAAGGACAAGCACAGCTTGTCAAAAACTGAGACAAAACAGTGTAATACCAACCTCAACCAGATCACACTGGACCCTCTCACAAAATCTTGTGTCGTTAGGAGATCTGGGATCCAGTTTGTTGTTAGAATAGTGTACCTAGTGTACTCAACTAGATAGGGGCGTGTGTCAGTATAGATATACTATACTGCTACATATAACATATATAAACATGTATATAAGTTGTCTTTTATAATTTCTGAGTCCTTGCTAGTTCATCAGCCAATCCACCAGGTAGAGCATTTCGGGGCTTATGATCAGTATGCTCCTTTACACCTGGGTGCCCCCTCACCTCTGCGCCCAGGGATGATGCCAGCAAAGGTGTATCATTGAATCGTAGCGTTGTATAGAAAAGAACGGGATATCCACGTTCATGTGTATCCAGTTTATTCATGTAGCCTCACCATAGAGGTATATCTCATGTATTCAATAAGAATATACTACGAGCTCGTAGTGCCAATGGAGGGACAATGGTTAGGCATAGAAAATGTAATAGTGACATAAATATATGTATATAAAATTACTTGCGTACTCATACGTAAGTACAAGAGCGGTGTGCAAATAGGTATTGGGGTTATTCAGACAGTGTGTATAGATATACATAGAATTTGTGACATTGAATCGATACATGTATATACAAATAATCGGGTACCAAAATGTGAGTTTAGGGAAAAAATGAGAGTTTAGCAGAAAAAACATAGAACCAGAAAAGTTACCTCCAACTTTAGGAGCATTGATTCCCCACATACAAAGAGCAAGTTTTATTGCTGGAATTTTGAAGGAATATACAACTGCGATTAATGAAATTCAACCTCTTGTGGGAAACGGTTGGCAAATGGATGAGGGTAGGGAAGTACCGATAAAGTGCCTTGAGCTGCCAGCCCCGCAATCAGTTCTTGAACTTGTCAAATGCGGATGCAAGGTTCGATGCAAGGGACGAGGGAACTGTTCGTGTTTGAAGAATGGGCTGTCATGCACTGAACTATGCAAATGTGTAGATTGGGAAAATATTAAAGACTACGCCGCAGGTGAAGAGACAGACGCCGATTCTGGAGAGGGAGTCGAAATTCATTAACGTGTTTGAACTGTTCGTTGTTTCTTAAAGCCTGGTTTCCATATGATCGCAAAAAACGCAAG